AAGGGAGCTACGAGCTTAACGAGCCGAACTATCGAGCGCTCGTTAAGCTCACGAGCTACGAGCTTTTGGTCGAGCCCTACACACTAGGGATCCCAACTGGGCCTCGGCCCACTACCCGTTTGCTCGTTCTCCCGTTCGGCACTACTCCTTCGCTCGTTCTCACATTCGCTATAGTTTTTCTTCCGTTTGATTTTTTCCGCTCCCTGCTTTCTCCTACAGCACTTAAAAAAATAAAAAATAAAAATGGATACAAATTAGAAAAAAAAGTTCATCGATTTTAAAAAAATGTTCATGAATTTGTAAAAAGTTCATCGTTTCTGAAAAAAGTTCACCGTAACTCAAAAAAGTTCATCAAATTTTGGAAAAAAAGTTCATCAATTTTGAAAAAGGTTCATGAAATTTGAAAAAGTTCATAGTTTTTAAAAATGATTCATCAAAATTGAATAAAGTTCATCGAATTTAGAAAAAAGTTCATTGAATTTGAATAAAGTTCATAGAAAAAGAAAAAAAAAAGAAAAAAATGAAACAAGAAAAAAGAATAAGAACCGGATGGAAAACTGCCCAACAAACCGGGAAAACTAGGTTAGAAGCTTCAAGAAGCTTCCCAAAACCAGAGGCTACCCGCGAATTGGAGAAACTATAAAAATGGAAAAAGATATAATATTTCACATAGGTTTTGTCTTTGCAAATACATGTTTCATTTACATCATAAGAATCATAGTACAACCCATGTACAAACTGAGCTGGCAAAACTGAAAAAACAGCAAGACACTAGTCTTTGCACAAAGTAACAACAGCCGAGAAGTAAAAGTACAATCAAGACCGAAAAAACCTTTGAACTTGACACCAAAGCCCGTCATAAGCCTCTAGAACCACCGTAGCAGCCACCAAAGAAAACAATGACGGACCACCTTCACACTCAAGCTTGAAGCGGATCCATCGCTAATATGCAACTTTGCGAACTTCCAAAGTGGTTAACCAAAAACGAAATCATTACCGTTGAACGAATCAGACCGGGGCAACACCCCGAACACGCCATCGAACTACAGATCTGGCACCCCACACGACTAAGACGCCGGAGGAGAAAACCATACTTGCCATCCACGAACCACGAACCAGCACACGATTCACCATCTTCCAGATGCCGCTGATACAGACCACAATCTGCATCCGTTTTTGGACTACCTCCCAAACTCTGCGCCGGCGCTGGAGCAAACGCCGTCGCAACGACGGAGCCCGAGGACATAGGTTCACCACGAGGATGTCGCCGCCGCCACGCCATCCTTACTTGAACAGACTGATTTCCAAATCCATCCCTAACCACAGGACTGATCGCCTCGTTGGAGTAGGATCTGAATAAACTTTATTCAGCACCGCCATCGCTGCCGCCGAAGCAAAAACGATGAACAACCTAAAAACCTAAACTATGATAGCCTAAAAAACGATCCACACGTGAATCCGACGACCCCCCTCACCATCGACGATCGAAGTGATCATTGCGTTTGTACGTAAAACTACAGATGGTGAGTTCGAATCCCAGTTGCTTCATCCATCGCTAACGAGGCCTAAAAGAACACTTAATTTTTGGCCGGCCCATGACGGGAGGTACGTGAGCGCCCGTTTTCCTAACCGGCGGAGCTCCCAGTTGCTTCATCGGTTCATCCATGGCTAATGAGCCCTAAAAAAGAACATCGCTAATGAAGCTGCTGCTGCTGCTGCTCTGGTCCAAGTCTAACTTGACAACTACCTTTCGCACACAATGGCCACCGTAGCTTGCAACACCAAGACTCTCCCGTCCCCTCACGGTGGGCGCCTCGCAACCAAGCCAATAAACCACCCAGGGTCCTCCTCACCTCCCACCATCCAGACTCCCGAGGCTCGCATTGCACCGCCACCACCCAGGCACGGCACCCACGGCCATGGGCGACCCCTCCATCTGCATCTGCCTGGGCCGAAACCTGAAAGCAACTGAAAACATGCGAGTGAAGTCTGAAATAAATCTTGAGATTATAGAGGCCGACGCAAATGAACCATCACCTCTAAATCCCTGAAGTCCATACCCTGACCTCTCTGATCCTGGTCTATCCTAACCATCGATATGTTTGACGCACGTGGAAAAGCATAATCCTGACCAGGAACTCACTTCTCTGATAGCTATAGAGAACTAGTTTTGTGTGCTAGCTATCTCCACCCGAGCGCGCTACTAGATGTGTCCATGCAAGATGGATCTCTACGGCCGTCATGTCTACACGCCGGACAACCTCCGGCCTTGCGGGCTGCCGCAGCTGTAGGGGTCTAGCGTCCAGCCCCATGCATGTGCGTCACCTCCTTTGCTTGTGATTTTCCTAAACCAATCCTTGAAGAAACTACGAGGCCTGGTTTTGCTTATGTGTTATATGCTTCTACCATGGACAGATGCAAATTTTCCTAATGATTGATGTGCTTCAGCAAGAAGGTCGTTCTCTGCTTGCCACTCTCCTCTACACTGCTTCAGGCGCTCCTCTTCCTCCTCGGCTCGCATTCGTGTCGTGTGTGTTATGGCCACTAGAAGAAATCGATAGCTTTGTATTGGTGGCTGTAGGTAGCTATACATCACAAGTTTTGTACGTGCGTGTTGCCCCTCATGGCATGGCATCGGAAGAAAAACTGAGCCAACTCGCGCATGTTGCTCGCACCCAAAAGTAATCGACGAGTTGATGCATTACATTGGCGGCAGTAGTGATCAAGATCAGAGGCCAACAGGCATGGCGGCGGGACTACTACGCCATGAAGTTTGACTTGTTGACGTTCCTTGTCGAGTACAAGAGCAGTGTTGTGAACCGTGGAGCGGCTCATGGTCACCGCCCTGTGGCGAACACGCTCATCAGCATAACCTCCAGGGACGTGCCCAACAATGCGGCGACCAGCGTCGGGACTAACTTAGTACTCACATATCCCGTTGAATCTCGCAGAGGAAGCAACATGCGAACAACGCCCACCTTCAAGGCTTCAGCGGAACCGCCCGTTTTTTAAGTGTGAACCGCCAGTTTTGGATCACAGCCGCCGTCTTCTCGCCCTTCCCGGCTTGTTCCGGACTGCTTAGGTGCAGCATGCTGCTAAGGAGCTCGTCCGGACTGCCATCGATCGCCGCTGCACCGCATCGATCAGCTGGTGCTTGGCACCGTGCGGATGGATCGGCTGGGGAGTAAATCTGTGACGAACAGAATGAGGAAGGAGATGCACATGAGAAGTAGGCCCATGTAGTAAGTGACACTTGAAATCAATCCCGTCTGGGATCGGGCCTTTCCTATCACACCAAACAGATTTTATTCATGCAGGGGTTTGGATTGATTGGGATGTGTAAATATGGGGTACGAACTTCAGGGATTTGAAGGTGAGGGTTTATTTGCGTCGGCCTCTATAATCTCAGGGTTTATTTCAGACTTCACCCAAAACATGCAACAATTATTGCTGCCCTGCCCTGCCCCAGCGCCAGAACCCGCAAGCGCCTTCCTGAACCGCTGGCGACGCAACTGATAGCGCCATTATCGCCTCATCTCCACAGCGGAGCCCTTGTCTGCATCTCCAACTTGTGCTAATCAGCCGGCCCTCTCTGTATTGCATCGCACCGATCGGTTCGTTCAGTGGAGAATGTTCTGGAGGGATAGATACTGTCGTTGGTTGGGTTTTGGAGGTGGTGCACTGCTCACCCATGGCGAAAACAACAGGCGAACCATGCTGGATTGATTGTTGGCAAGAGATGGAAGAGTCAGGCCAGGCAGGGGAGCTTTTGATGCTAGCTGCACAAATTGTCCATCCATGTGTCAGAATAGAGCTTCCCACATGTTACCTGAACTCCCTGGAGATTAAACCTGACGAGTTTATCTCAACCAAAGTGCTAGAGGATATGAACAGGCAAAAGAAAATGAATCCAAAACTTGAGGTTCATCACTCACATCACACCTACCGGTCAATTCAATCATTCAGTTAGGTGGACTGAACTTTGGACTACAGATGGAGGAAGCCACTACTACAGTCTACAGTAATTCCCGAATCTTTGCCTCAGGTGCTTCTGCGCAGCAAGCAATCTGTACCAGCCTTTAGTCTGTAATCTTATTCAGCATCTTGCTGATTTCACAAAAAAAATCAGCATCTTGCTGGCTTTTGTAACTGTAAAATAATGCCACCTGCAACAATTCTCAAATTGCAAAATGCTGCACTTGGCAGAGTATGAAAACTACTGCTTTAAGCTTTCCTCTTTGCAACTGTGAAGCAAGAGGGTATCTGGAACTCTATTTCTCCTTGATAAAGATTGTACAGTAACTGTGAAGCAAGAGGGTTTTCGGCTTTTCCTTTTCTTTTCCTTTCCTCCTACCCCACGAGGGAGGAAACAACCAGAGGAATATGCCCGAATCTCGCCTAAGGTGCTTCTGCGCAGCGATCTGCACAGTGCTGTTCTTAATCAGTAGCAGTATCTTCATAGCTGTGAAATGATGCTACTGCTCCCTCCCTACTTCCCACCCCTCCCTTTGCAGGTGGCTACATAGAACAAAGCTTTCAATTTGTCTATGGGCCAACGGCCATAGCATGCTGTCTAACAAACCATATCTCTTCGGCCTTTAGGTAAAGTCCGTTAGCTACCCACCAAAGAAGATTTTAATATGTCACCCTCTAGAGTTTTCAGATCACAAGAATAGTGGATCTAATCATGATGCATGTTAGAGTTAAATAGTAACAAGGTGAATATTAATTCTTGAGCAAAAGATGATGTGAACAACATTTCCCATACACAAACGCACTGCCCTTGGAGAGCCTTTTGGACAAAGACTTGGCATCTGTTCTGAAGACACCATGCTTTCAAATAAATCTTCATCAAAAGATGATAACTGAAGTTTACACAGACATCACTAGGGGAATGGAAACGAATAACAAACTTACGATAATAACAATTACAGAAACACACGGACGCCTGGTAATTGCCTCAAGTTGTAAAATGAATGTAGCACTTGGCACAGTTCTTCTCAACATGGTTGCTGCTGCGGCTGCGGCTGCTGCTCGCCTTGCCACGCCCAGACTATGTCCTTCAGCGCCGGCCTCATCTCCTGGTTCAAGACCTTCTGGTACTCCAGAGTATCACCGTTTGTCTTCTTCAACTCCACGAGATGGAAGTCAGGGGTGACCTCGAATATCTCAGCATCAATGGACATCACACCTTTCCTTCCAGCCTTGAAGCTTTCCATCCTCAACATGCCACCATCTTTCTTGACGAGCTTCAGTCGCATGCACTTTGCGATGTCCTCGATCTTTGACACGATCGTCGAAGCCGAGTTGGTGGATGTGAACTTGGACTCCCTCTTCTTGTCATTGTCCTCAAACATACCAGAGAGGTCGAGTCCGGTTGAGAGGGAGATTATATCGAAAGCATTCAAGTTGGCGAGCTTTTTTGCTTCTTGTTCCTTGCCCTCTGTTGCTGAGTTGCTGCAGCTCAAGGAATCAGAAGTCGCAGTCATGTCAGCAGCAGGAACGGCATCTTTTGCTTGCAAATTGTATCTGAGCAGTTTTGCATCTAGACCCTTCCTGAACCAAGGATGTTCCATGATTCTCTCAATCGAGATCCTTGTGCTGGGGTTTGGATCAAGAATCCTTAGCAGAAGCCTTCGAATATCTGAAGAGAACCAACTCGGGCATTTGAACTCTGCTTTCCCAATCTTCTTATACATATTCATCAGATTTTTATCTTGGAATGGGAGATACCCAGCCAAAAGCACAAAGAGGATCACCCCACAAGACCAGATGTCAGCCTTAGCGCCGTCATAGCCTTTCCTATTGATCACTTCAGGGGCAACATAAGCAGGCGTGCCGCAGGATGTGTGGAGCAACCCGTCAAGTCTTCTGCACTCAGAAATGGTACTCAGACCGAAGTCTGAAACTTTCAGGTTACTGTTCTCATCAAGAAGAAGGTTCTCCGGCTTCAAATCACGGTGATAGACACCCCTGCTGTGACAAAAGTCAACCGCGCAGATCAGCTGCTGGAAGTACTTCCTTGCAGCATCTTCCTTGAGCCTTCCCCTCTGAACCTTGTTGAACAGCTCTCCACCCTTCACATGCTCCAACACAAAATAAATCTTTGTTTTGGTTGCCATGACCTCATACATCTGAACAATGTTTGGGTGCTTCACCAGCTTCATCACAGATATCTCGCGCTTGATCTGATCCGTGAGCCCGCCCTTCAGAACCTTCTCCTTGTCGGTCACCTTGATGGCAACACTCTGCGAGGTCTCGATGTTACGGGCATGGTAGACCTTGGCAAAGGTCCCTTGCCCGAGCATCTTCCCCATCTCGTACTTCCCCATCAGAATATTCCCCTTCTGCTCTCCCATGATGGCAGGCAGATGTATGCTATGCACACAGAACAGCAGCAGCGATCCCGGACCTTCAAAGGGAGCCTGCGGGTGGTATATGACCTCAACCGTCCCCTCCGAGGTGGTAATCTAAGATGATGGTTGAGATGCCACGTCGAACCCCATTGTGCAGAAGCACATGGAAGAAGAGGTGTGTTGTGTGCTGCTGTGAAGCGGTGTCATCAAGGTCAATCAAAGCAGAAACAGGGGCGGCTACCCTGCCGATTCCCTCGCAAGGTAGCTCTCTAGCATGCAAACACATCTTTCTGCATTCCCTAAGATGTTTCCTCCTTGCTGAAATCCAGGTACTGTCAATCAAGAAAGTAAAGGCGTAACGTTAGCCATAGAGCAATCGGTAGTGAGGACAAATTATTCCGTAACTAGAAGATTCTTCTACATGCAGAAGGCGGCAAAATTTCCGAAATTAGAAGATTGCTCTGTTTGCAAAAGATGGGAAAATAAATCTCTTCCACATACAGGACCACAAGCATATATAGTACTCCCAACGAAAGCTAACTTGCATCCCTTAGCCGGATTAAGAGGAATCTAAACTGCAACCAGATGCATCACTTAGCCGGATTATTAAGAGGGGTCTAAACTGCACCGAGATGCATCACTTAGCCGGATTAAGAGGGGTCTAAACTGCAACCAGATGCATCACTTAGCCGGATTAAGAGGGGTCCAAGCCGCAATCAGATTCGGTTGTCCATAGCCGGATTAAGAGGGGTCTAGACTGCAATCAGATGCGGTTGTCCAACTTTCTATGGCACCTAGCTGATGGATCTGTTTATCTCCGCGCATAACCAACCTATCACGCCTAAACTTTCTCGCTGCCAAAACAGAAGAGACAGCACCCGGAAACGCGCATCTAACCACCAACCAAGGAGCTGAACGAGGCAACCGGCACGAACGAACAACAGGAGAAGGAGAACGACTATCCCTACCATGTATGTAGAGAGAAATCTAGCGCGAACTCCTGAGGAGAAATTGTTTCGGAGACCGCACACGCACCAAATCGGCGAGGCCCTAGACGACATGTTTCGGCCCGCTAGACACATGTTTCGCGCACACGCAGTCGCAGATGAACTGCACTGGAACCAAAGACAGAAGAAGAGAGGCGTGGGCGAGCCCGTACCAGATCCCGGCGGCTCGCGACGCGAACGGGACCGCGGCGGCAGCCCCGGCGGTGGAGTAGATCCCTTCCCTTCCTCCGCGAAGAACCGGCGGCGCTCGCGAGACGAGGAAGCCGGCGGGGGAGGGAGGAGGCGGATGCGTGGGCGGCGGGGCTGGGAGACGGCGGAGTCGTGGCAGATTTGCGGCTCTTCTCCTTGGGTTGGGAGGTAGTCTGGTGGGAGAGTGTATTACAGCGAAAGGTTCAGCTTGAGAGGCGGCTCCGCTTTATACGCGCCGCGGCGGCCAACCCCCCGCCCCGCCCCGCTAGGGATGGATGGATCCGTTCTCGCGGAGAGAAGGAGAGGAGAGATATTCCTCCACCCACCCACCGCCCGCCGCTGTGGGCCGGTAAAATTACGCGCGGTGGGGCCCGCCAATAATGCGCTGGCCTGTCCGCTGCTGCGACGGACGGACCAAATTAGATCGGCCCGTTGCGCCCTCCCACGGCCGCCCTCCGCCGTCCATTCTGCATCGGCGGCCAACCTACTAGTAACACAGGGTTTCATATGGTTCCCGTGCCTGGCCCTTGTTTTACGTGCGTGCATGATGCTACTCCATAATTGTAGGGTCGCGACGAAGGAAACTTTTGATTCGCGGCCGTAAATTTCGGTAGATCTTTCTTAGTAGTGGAGAATCTCGGTAGAATTTAGAGCTCTGGCTGAAGCGTGAACGCGCAGATCGCCTATGGTATAATCTGCCAGCTTTCAAAATTACTACTAGCACGTAGTGATATCGAAGGTAGTTACAAGTCCAAGATTTTGCCCGCAAAAAAAAGGGTAAAAGATGGGCAATGTATACCGCGAACGTTCGTTGCGGCGTGCTACGGCCCGACCCTACTCTGCTTGCCTGAGGTCACGATGATGCCATGGCCCGTCGCGCCGTAGTGATCTCCAAACGAAGTGTCACCACTCCAAATTAGCGCAAGTTTATTACTTTATTTATTTACGTAGCACCTGCGAGAGATCGAAACACGTACGAAATGGTCCACCTGCGTGGCCAGCCATGTGCAGACCGCCCAGCGCTTGGCCGGCGATTCGCATCAGCGGTGCGCGCAGGAGGGAGGAAGAGGCCAAAGCAAAGCACGGCGCCTCCTCGTGCCCGGCTGTAAAAGGCCCACCTCCCATCGTCCCGGCTAAGTTAGGCACGCAAAAGCGTCACGGTCAGGGCCAACAAACGTACAAAACCAGCGGAAAACCGAACGTCCAATCTCCTCCCACGCCCGTAAAGTTCATGCTTAGAATAGTGGCATTATTATTCCGGTGGCTCGCTTGGAGCCTTGCAGCCCATGCATGGCATCGAGAGACCGGAGGCATATATGCATGCGACGATATGCATGCATGTGTTCGTTGTTGCTATGCTCGATCCGTCTCAGGGAGACCCCTTCCAACAGACGGGCATGGCGGCAATGATAGTATATGCACTATCTAGGCGGCTAGAGCGGAGCTGGTTGCTTTTTGGAGAGCCAATGAGACATATGCGTGCACTCCCGCGGCCCGGCCAAGCAATGTGGTGATGATGATGTTGTACGTCCTTCATCGCCTCCCACACCTGTCCTCCGGTCCAGTCGGTGCTACCCCCAACCACAAGCCTCATTATTGGAAAGCTGTATTTTCGGTGAAGTGGACTTTCAAAGAAGCATTCTCTTTTTCACTAGAATAGCTTTTCTTTTTTCGGTTTGTCATCGACTATGGGAAAGAAAGAGGTTTCCGTACCATGTATTTTTTTGCAGCAATCCAAACTTCTTTTTTTAAAAAAAAATTGAAAAATCTTCTACATGTGCCACATATTGTCTCGAAAGCATGACTCATGCTAACACCAGGGTGTGTTGCCCCGCAAAAAAAAACACCAGGGTGTGTTTTTGTTTTTGTGGCCAAGTTTGCCCTGCCAAATTTTTGAGGTGTTGCCTTTCCATGTTTTGGCTAGCAAAATGAACTAGAGGTGCTAAAGAAGCATTGATGGCATCTTCAATGTCGATGTCTAAAACGGACATGGTATCTGTCCCCGGACTGTTCCAGACTCGTCCGAAACACGGATACGGAGTCATCCAACGCTATGCTTCAAAGATCTACCTTTTATTATTATTATTGTTATTATTATTTTAAAAAATAGCAACGGCAGCGGCAAGTGTAGTGGTTTTGAGTGGAGTGATGGTCATTTTACAGTACATGCTAGCCTTTCACCAAATGCTAAACACCGTGCCAAATGCTAATCAAGTACACCTTTCGCCAAAATGTGTAGTACCATTTTCATAGCTTCCGTCAAATGCTAATCATCTCCTAGTACACCTTGCACCAAAGGGTCCAAGTGCTAATCACCTTCCAATACACCTTTTGCCAAATGCCTTTGGTCATTTTCAAAGCTTCCCCTAGATGCACAAATGCTAATCACCTTTAAGATGCTAGCCTTCCGCCAAATTAATTATCTTTAACAGTGGGTTCCGTCATCCGAATGGGGAGAGGAAGAAGGGTACATGGTGGCTTTTTGTTCGTCATGTGGATGCACGGACTCCTACAAAGTTTCCCTGGTTTGCCTCCGTTTTGCATGATGCCGTGACATGCGGGAACAAGTTAGTAGTAATCCGGAGAAGAACAACATTTTGGCCATGGCCTAAAAATTGACGGGGTAGATTTGGTTGGCAGTCCGAGCATGGAATAGACATCTTCACTCCCATCCGCGTCGGAAAACAAAGCTCATCACCCGGTGAAGAACTTGCGTGCCAACCGGTACGGCGGTACGGAGTTTGAGGTGGCATGTAGGTACGTATACCGGCACTAGCACGCGAGGGTGTTGGCGTAGGCGTACTAACCAAAGTATGGAGTAGCTTAACTATCACTGATGACATGGTCTAATCGTGGGGCTCTCGATCGTTCCATTAATTTCTTGGACACTTCGCTCGTCCAGATCGGTTGCCAAAGCCGTGACGACTGAGGACTACTAAGGACGAGCTGGCTGGCTGTTGTCTGTGATCATCGATTATTAGAGGCTACGGACGATGCAGACGCAGATGCGAGGCATCTTCGAGGAAGGAAGAACAGAGGCAGGTGCGTTTTTTTTTTGTTCTTTGAAACTAGAGATGCAGAGGCGTTGAGGCGTGATGAGCTCGGTGTCACTTGCGAAACACCGAGTGTGCAACTCTTTGTATTATTATTATTATTATTATTATACGTCGAGTGATTTTTTTAAGAAAACACGGAAGTGTTGTTTTGCTCGTAGGTGAACTGTAAAATTTGAAAATATAGCAACAAAATTCAAGAAATTCTGGTTTTGCATGACGGACATTACTGAATATTTTACCAACATGCAAGAGTTTCGTGATGGAAAAACATTCACATCATGATTTTTGCATGTTGGTCGAACACTCGACAAAGTTTGTCTAACAATTTTTATAAAAAAAATTTCCTGATTTTACGGTTCACCCGGTGCATACTCAACCGAGTGCGGAAACTCCATGTCCCGATGTCCTTTTTTCCAAGAGAATAGCGAGGTTTTTTTTCGGTCTGTGATCGACTTTGGAGATGATTTTTGTTCGTATATATATTTTATGACACTATCTTTTGAACTTGTACAGAAATATTTAGTTGGGGTATATCATGCCTTGAAAGCATTGGATTCGCGGGAGTGATGAGCACATTCTCTGCTTCGTGAAGAATTTACGTGCCAGCCACAGTACAGGGCTCGAGGTGGCCTGTCGGTACGTGTAGCGGCACTAGCACGCGAGAGGGTGTTGACGTAATAGCCAAAGTAGATTAGCAATCACTGATGACCTCTTCTAGTCGCGGGGCTCCATCGATTCATTTCTCGGACGC